GGCCTCATATAGATGTTAAACAGCATTGGGGAGATGATCGACCCCTGTGGGACCCCACAATTGAGGCTCCACGGGGCCGAGACATTCTCCCCAAGCTGTACTCTTTGGGGATGGTCCTCCAAGAAGGAACGGAGCCAGGCGAAAGCTCGGCCACCTATCCCCAACTCGGCGAGCCTCCCCAGGAGGATACCGTGGTCAATGGTATCAAAGGCCGCTGAGATATTGAGGAGGACCAGCAGAGACACTTTGCCCCTGTCGGCCTCCCTCAATAGGTCATCAGTGATTGGAATAAGGTGCATAATATCAAAGCTTGGAAAAGTTCCTTTTTCTGGACTGCAGATCTCATAACTTCCCACATAGCATTGAGTTCCATGATTTCATTGCTTTCTGTATACACTTTGGAGGCAACTCTGCAAACAGATTTCAGCTGTTCACAAACCAGCTGGGAACTAAACATTACTACAAATGCAAAATTTACTCAAAGTTTACATAATCTCCTTGAAAAGCTGGATTCATTCATTAGCTGAGCACATGAAAAGGCTTGTTTTTCACAAAATAATCAGCTCAGTGACTGCATTTAAAAAATTATATATCTAGTTTTATCAGAGCTAGATACTTAGTTTTTAAAAACAAAATCTTAAAATCCAGATTAGCTGAACAGTCATGGCACGTCTAAAATCCACTTCTCCAAGAACTGTACTAATCTTAATAATAATAATAGAACTGCAGAACTGGAAGGGACCCTATGGACCATCAAGTCCAACCCACTTGGGAGGCACAATGAGGAATCAAACTGCCAACCTCTGGCTCCGCATCAAGAAGCCTAAACCACTGAGGTATCTAGCAGTTTTATTGACTTGTACATTAACTCAAAATGTTTTTTAAAATGGAAATGGGCAGTTTTATGTATTTTTTACTTTCCTAAAGAGGTGTGCTTTTCCTTTCTAGGTCCCTGTTTCAAAATTCTCCAAGCCAGAAAAATGATGTATTTCACTTGGATATTAAAAATGTCGGTGGCATAGGTCAGATCTTGGACTATATGTACACATCTCATCTTGACCTCAACCAGGACAATGTACAAACTTTGTTGGATGTTGCACAATATCTGCAAGTACAAAATGTTTTGAATATGTGTCGTTCATTTTTGAAATCCTCAAGGGCTCCAGAGCAGCTAGATAGTATGCCTTATAATAGTGCCCTTTTGCTGCAGAGTACTTTAACTACAGATCCTGATTCTGCTGATTATGCTACTAATTTACTGCGGGTATGTTCATCAATTGAGCACTCCTGTACAGTTTCAAATGACCATCATCTACAAAGGTCACAGCCTGCTGAACTCCACATTTCATCTGATACTGTAAAAAGACATAAACAGGATTCTGTGGATGATAGTTGCGCAAATCATTCATTTAAACAGTCAGATTGTCATTACAGACTCCGTAATGTTTATAGCAAACACTGCTATAAGAGCACAACTTGCACTAGCAGCAAAAAAACACCAAAACTGTCCTCTGATGTCAGTGCTTCTGCAAAAGAAAGCTCTATTAAGAATGTTTCGTGTACCATTAGCCAATCTGATTGTATTTTGGAATCATCAAGTAGTTTAACACTGGTTCAGCCCTTAAATGAGTGTCCCAAGGATGAAGGTTTAAAAGATGAATCTTTACAGCTGAGGCTTAAAAAACACATACATCTAAAGAAACTGGATTTCCTACAATCTCAAAAATCTCTGAAACAGTCTGCTATGCTTCAGATTGCTGATGGAGACATTGCAAGGGAACCAGAGTTAGACATGCAAAATAGCTTGAAAAGGATAAATATTGGAACAAATGATCAAAAAGAAGTTCAGCATCTAGTTAGTTTGGAGCAAAATGTTGAATTTATGCCATCTCAGGAATCTTCTGAACCAGCTAGCCAACTACAGACATTTCTTCCAGAGAGGCAATATCCTTGTGCAGTGTGTGGAAAAGCTTTTAAACATCCAAGCAATCTGGAGCTCCACATAAGATCTCATACCGGTATAGTTGTTTAATATATCTAGGGCAACAGTTCAATTACAGAATAAAAAAATTAAGTATTGTCTGGCCACTGAAAAAAATAGATATGACACACCAAGGTACCTGGTATAACAACTTCAGTCATCTAGTAGTCAAATTCCACATTCCTCATCACATAATCTCGAATGGGCTTTAAAAATTCATATATCTCCTGTAAAGTTATGCAAGTAGTTCCTCTGTCAAGGGCCAGGCATTGGTTTCTTAGAATTTAAAGACCTGACGCCTCACCCTGACTTTCTTGTATGAACTGCAGAATAAATTTTTTTCTTGCCATATATGAGTGGCCACCGTATATGAGTGGCTTATAAAAAGAGTATGATTTTCATTCTGCAAGTGGCATTAGTTCATCAAGAATTTTTAAGAAAACCAGGAAGCATGGTGAAGTGAAAATTAATCGCTGTGCTCATTGATTTCGAAAGTAAAAGAAACTTAGAGGTATATACCATACATTTACATAAAGTGTTATAGCCATTTAAAGAATGTTCTGTTCATTACAGGACAAATCATTAGCCAAACAATTATAAATCAAATCTGTATATTTCCAAAATCTCAGTAAACACAGAGATTGAGATATGTTTATATTTATTCTGCAAAGCATACCAGCAGGGTGGATTTTATGTAGATTTTTTAAAATTAATCGTGATTTAAATTGTGATTCAAATCAATTTGACTTTTAAAAAATCATTGATTCTATCCACCCCTGTATACCAGTCTAATATTTTCTTATTCATATAATGTCAGAACCAAAGAGCAAGAGAGAAGTGTGCTATTTACTTCCAGCTTTCTGACCATTTGTCCTCATTGATTAAAATTGGTTCTGAACCATGTAATGATGGGATAGTACCAAGCACTGCTGTAATCTTTATTAGGTTCCAAATGCAATGATCACTGGTATATACTAGTGACATATATAAAGGCTCATATTTGAATCAGCAGGTGCCCAAAAGTACACTTCAAGGAGCAGTGTTGGCAGTCATGTGGAAATATTGGCAGTTTGTTTAGGCCTTAGGGCAGTGGTGGCAAACCTTTTTAGGCTCACGTGCCCAAACTTGGGGGAAAAAAACAAAAAACAGTGGCCACACCCGGAGGACTCGGAACCGGAAATGCGAACCTGGAATGGGAAGTGGCGGAACCAGAAGTGGTGGCGGAAGGGGGATCCCGGCACGGAGGTGCCTCAAGGCCCCTCCGCTGCCAGCACCAGTTGCTCTGGATCCACTTGCCGAAGCGCCAGCACTGGCTGCAGCCACCTCCTGAGGTTTGGCTGGGGGGTGCCGGAGGGAGTAGCGATCTGGCGGCCTATGGCTCGCATGCCATCAGAAAGGGCTCCACGTGCCAGCTGTAGCACGTGTGCCATAGGTTCGCCATCACTGGTCTAGGGTTTCCTAGGCCCATCATTCAATGATTTCTTACATCTAACTATCCAACACAGAAAGTGCTGACTCAACATCCATGTTTTTTAAAAAAATATATTAAATACTGAAACCTTTGTGCCATCATTTTGTTTTTGTTTTAATTTGTAAATTGTTAAACAAGTTTGATAAACACAGGTCTAAATCCTGTAGTAGACCTTTAGTCTTGATGGGTGGGATAGAAATCCAATAAATGAATAAATAAATAAAGTCCTGTTTGTCCTCAGTTATGCAGTGAAAACTGATGATGTCATCAGCTAACACCAGTAACATTAAACTAATTAAAACCTTCATCTGGCAGATTTTTTACTTTAAAAAATCCCTCCCCTGCTTCTGAGTCCCAAGGCTCCCAAAGGTTTCCTCGGGGCAGAAAGGAGCCCTAGGGAGCCTCCGAATAAAAACTGGGGGTGGGGTGAGGGATAGGATGCTTTTAATTAGTTGAGTTAAACGTTACCCTTGGCTTCTAGAGTGTAACTTTACAAGAACACAGTTTTGGCCACAAGGTAAAAATTTCCTCAGCCTTTCTCAAAAAGCAAGGATAGATAATGTCTGTGACACATTATTCTTTCTTTTTTTTAGGTGAGAAGCCATTTGAGTGTAATATTTGTGGGAAATGTTTCTCACAGGTAGGAATTTTATATTCTTTTTTCTTTGAGTCTACTTCTGTTTATATGCCATACCTATATTCTTTTATAATCTTAGATATAGATATATTATAATATATATCTCCCTCTCTCTCTCAGATATATAATGGCATATATATCTTATATGCCATTCTAGGCTCTTAGAGGCTAGGAGCCATTAATTTCCTACCAAATGAAAATAATTGATTATATTTTTCTGCCTCCTCCCATCCCCAAGTATTGCTGTGTAGCATATCCTCATTTAGCTTGGAGCTGGGATTTTTCCATTGGCATAATCCAGAATACTCAGGTCTGGAATTCACAAACACTGGCCTGTCAATTGTTTTCATGTGCTGCTTGCTAAACCTTGTACGTCTTCCTTTGTGGACAGCATAAATAAAAGACACATCATGCTATATTGCATTGTCACTAATTGTGTCTATCAGAGTAACAGACTTCTGACAAAATCTGTTAGAAACATAGCAATGGAGAAGTTAGATCTTCTCCCCGATTCTAGGTAATAGTTTTGGGGATGCAGAGTGTAGTTTCTGTCTTGTCTTGGTAGATGCAGAGCATAGCATCGGACTTGGAGCTCCAAGTCTTGCTATGATGGTAACACTGTTCTTTCCCCTATGTCAAAGCAACAACAGGGTGATACAGAAGTCCCTACAAGAGACCTTTTGTGCAGCAAGGAGGCTGGGAAGCCATTACTTACTCATCCTGTGTTATGCCTATAGCTTTGGGCAAAAGTACAGCAATGCTCTGGGGAGGGATTTTTTTTTTCATTTTTTTTTTCACAGAGATAGGCAAACAAGTTTGCACAGGATACTTAAGTTGTCAGTTACTTTTTAAAATGATAGCATTTAAACCCCTTTATTTGTCAGGTGTCATACTGTGAACTTTCAGAACCTAAAGCAAATATACTCATTTTCAAACATAATTCTCACAAACCTCATGTTGGTACATGATTTACTGGTTAATCTAGCTGTGGTGAAAGCTTGTGCTTGCCTTTGTAGGCAGGAAATCTTCAGACTCATTTACGTCGACATTCTGGTGAAAAACCTTACATCTGTGAAGTCTGTGGGAAAAGGTCTGTATGACTGTGAAACTCCTGTGTTGCAATATTGGCTTCATTCAGGTGTCCATAGCTTTTGTTTGAGGGTTGGTAACAAAGCAACAAGTTTAATTGCTACCTGCTACTTTCTTAATGAAAGATTTCTAAGTAGCTTTAAAGGTTTTCATTCTGGTTGGAGAAATTTCCAAAACAGGATTACAAACATGATCAAACTGTGGTTTGCAATTCTGGTTTGGATAAATTGCTTACAGTACAAATTCTTCATTGAAGTCTGTCTGATTCATATTCCTAGGTTGTTTTGTGCCTATGGAAAGCATTTCAGAAACATCTGGCACTCGAGATAGACCTCTTCGTGGTAGTCCCACCTTCCCCTAGAGTGCATAACTAGGCACGGCTCCTGCTCTTTCTCCTCCTTTTTGGCCACCACACATTGGAAACTTCAGGGTTTTTGTTTGTTTGTTTGTTTTTCCCTTTCATTACTGTTTCACTCCATCTGACTTATTGACTTGACCTATTGGAATATTCATCTTTTCCCTTACTCTTTCCCCTTGAACTTTGATACCCATGTTCGGAATTTTAGAACTTTTGACTCACATCATCTGATGACTGCCCATGCTTTGTCAAAGTTAATTTCTCACACATATAATAGTGTGGAAATGTTTGGATTTTTCAAAAATGTGTAGAGTTGTTGTTGTTTAGTCATTAAGTCGTGTCCAACTCTTCGTGACCCCATGGACCAGAGCACTCCAGGCCCTTCTGTGTACATAGCAATAATTGTGAACTGTAAAATTTAATATGGAAGGGGGGATGAGCAATGTATCGATTAGTCCAGTAAATGGCAGTGCTCTCTGTATGCAAGTTGCTAAAGAACCAGATTGCTGGGATGCCATTTTGTCTAGCCAATGGTTTACTTACAGAGAAGCATTCAGAGGAAACAACAATTTTATTTATTTATTTTATTTATATCCCGCCTATCTGGTCGGGTTAGGACCACTCTAGGCGGCTAACAACAAACTACTCCTGCAGGTGGCTTTAGTGGTCATTTGGTCTTACAGATGTTTGATGTAATAGCTATGTGCCTCTTAAGCAGGGATGTTTATGTGTGATAAATGTTCAAAGAAGCGGATGTTATGATAAGTTGCTGGGAATGCAGAAACAAAGTAAAAATACATTAAAAATTAGAGTATGTATATCACTGAATTAGCAAAGAATTGCTAGTATTTGTCAACTGGGAATGGAAAAATACAGTGGTGCCTCGCATTGCGATGATAATTCGTTCCGCAAAAATTGCTGCAGAACGAAAACGTTGCAATGCGAAATTAATGCATTCCTATGGGCTTAAAAATCATAGTTCAGCAAAGATCCTCCATAGCGCGGCCATTTCTGGTGCCTCTTAAGTGAGGAATCTGTCCTAAAGCACAGCGGGCGGCCATGTTTTTTTCCCGGCGGCCTCACGGGGTGCGTGGGGTTTAGGGTCAAACCCGAGAAGCAGACCGATAACCGTGCACCATGCAACAATCGTAAGAAAACTTCTGCCCTAAAGCTGGGCACCTGGAATGTACGGACAATGACCCCTGGCTTTCCTGACTACGGCTTTCCTGATGACCTGCAAGAAATAGGCGATGTGCGCAAGACAGCTGTCATTGACATGGAACTGAGTAGGCTGCAGATGGACATTGTTGCCCTGCAAGAGACAAGACTGCCAGACTCGGGATCTGTCAAAGAAAAAAACTTCTCATTCTTCTGGCAGGGAAAACCATCGAATGAGACCAGGGAGCATGGTGTTGGCTTTGCAGTCAGAAACACCCTTCTGAGATGCATTGTTCCACCTACTGTGGGGAGTGAAAGAATCCTGTCTCTGCAGCTCCACTCATCAGCAGGACCAGTAACCCTCATTAGTGCATATGCACCAACACTGTCAGCCACTACAGAAGTGAAAGACAAATTCTATGACGATCTGGCAGCTACTATCAAAAAAGTCCCTGAAAGAGAGGCACTGTTCAT